TTGCTTCCAGGGATTTTAGCCATTGTCAGCTTGTTGTACAAGTTTTTTAATAGTTTTGAGATAATACTCTGAATCACTATAAAAAATAACTACATCGAATGATATGTATGGCTGTTTGACGCTCGATCATTTTGTGGTGCTCAAAAGCCGTGGAAAAGGATGAATTAGGACTTTCTGTAGGGTATTTCTAATTGTATGAAATATTTCAATTGCTTATCGATTGTTTTTATAAATGGGGGACCTGAGAGCGAATAGGATAAACGTTTTTGCATATTTTAACGTATTTTAGAATGAAGAAACCAATGTTTTTATTCATAGATAGAAGGGTGTCGATGTGAGCATGAAATGTGGGTGCAAGTGTGGAGTGTGGATGTGGCGTGTGAACGTGGAGTGAGGTGAGGGTGGTTGCAGATGTGTGAAGACGTGAATGCGGGCCTCTTCTTAAACCATGCTCACACCCACTCACACCCAGATCAGTCTACATCCACATCCATCCACACCCACACTCACATCTACACTCATACCACACCTACATCCACGTCCACCACACTCCAATCGGACTCACAGACAAACTCCATCATCGGGTCCATATTTACCTAGCAATAGTACTGGCATCGCTTTACACATTTTAATTCCGTAGGAGTTGTGCTAAACGCTTTTTGTTTCAGTTGAATTCATTGATGGTGTGCTTCTTACTTTGACTGCTCTGGTTTTTTTATTACTGTAATTGTTCTCAGCCAGTTCGTCGTTAAAAAGTTTTGAAATAATACAAAAAAGAGAAAGATAAGAAAACTACATTGTTGATGCCTTCTGACAGTTGTATACAAAGCATTTGATACAAAAGCAAAGGACATCACATACAATATCAAAACTAAAGACGATAACAACGCGCTGCTGCAGTTTTTTACGACTGCTTCGGTTAAAATTATTTGGCTGCAGTGAGTCGCTTACTAGAACGATTAGAAAAGAAAACCTTAATGATTTCAAAGTCGTGCACATAACACAAATATAAGCACGCATTATCAGAAAGGATGGAGATAGTAATAAAATCGAAAACAATGGCCCATTTTGCTCTTAGTAATTTGCCAGTAAATGCTACTCAGTTAGCTATCTACATAGTTCACAGATTTTTTCTATCTAACTCAAGTCTGTCATATTTTTATTCTTCTCAATTATATGATATTGTCTACATTCACATCATAAGTTCACTTACTTTCTCTACTAGATGGTGTATATAAGCGTTGATATGAATGTGGATATGGCTGTTATAGCTCGTTTTCTTTCAAATCACATCAACACTGACACCCGAGAAACGATTTTTTTTCTGCTTTAGTTTCATCTAGATTAAGATCATTTCTTTAACATAAAGCCTCCAGGTAGGCAACTTTTTTTATGATATTGTTTGCTTATAGAATATTGTGTTATATTGCGGAGCGGCTTGACTTTCTTTATTTATGCCGGTTTTTCGGTCAAAGCCTTGTCAGGTTCTTTTCTAGATCTCTATAAAACTTTGTGAACCGCTATTTTAGAAACTGGCAGATCACATATTCATGTGTCTAGGCAAACGACTATATTCTGGAAAAGCATATTTTCGCGTTTGTCCGCCTGGCTTCCCACTGTGTGTCGGGTAATTATTGACCTATTCATAGAAAGTATCTATAGGAGATAATAAAGCATCAAATCAAGATGGTCGTCTAAATAAAAAAAGTTAAGATTTTTTTCATCCTTCTGTGACTGAGATGTGTGTGAGCTTGAAAATGGTGTTTTTCAAAAAAGTGGAAAAGAATCATTTTTTTTCTATTCTCTTATATTAATTTACAGACTGATTATTCTGATGTTGCTGAGGGTGATATACACTACTCTGGATATAATCAATATGCAGAGTTGTTTTTAAAAATTCTTAATTGCAAATGTGAAAGCAACATTTTTCATGACAACTTGAGCCATCTTTTACCTGTTCGTAGTGAGTAACATGACAGATGGTTTTTCCAGAGTTATTCTTTTTTCATCCTAGAAATGGACTGTCTGACATCAGTGCGAAAATAGCCGCTTTTGCAAATATCTAACTAAAGGGTGATTCAAAAGTCTTGGTTCCTCTCACAAAAGTTGCTCTTTTTTGCTTATAAAAAATGCAAGAAGGCTGAGACTTTTGCATCTCACTTGTTGTAATTAGGCAAGTACTAGCCTACATATTCATGTCTCTATTGCTAATAATGACGGAGATATATAGGCTAAGATTCAGGGAATTTTATTTTTCTCATGTTCTAAAAATATAAAACAAACTTTCGTTCACAATTAACATGTTCAATAATTAGATTTCAATCCAAATTTACTGGCAAATGATATATAATTATTGTAAAGAATATAATGAATAGACTATCAATCGTTTTATTAATTGAAAAATGAATAAAATAATTGATAGTCTAGTTACTATACTTGCTACAATTTTAAATCTTATACAATCAAATGATATACATAAATAATTATATATTTAGCTATTGTTATGATCTGCCTTGTTGATTGGATATTCTTGATTTTTTATTGGACATTTTATTATATTTGGAATCGAATTTATTAATTTGGAGCACACTTCACAATATATTTTCTAAGCCTTTTATAATTTTCTTTCAGAACTTTAGGGACATCAATGATTAGTAAAATAAAGCAGATGTAAAGAAAAATATCGGGAAAAAGTTGATAAATGATAAATGAAAATTATAATTATAATTTATGATAAATGAACAACTGGCAATGCTCATCACTTTGAATCTCATTAATCAATATTGGAGCTGTTTGTAAGCATATATTATAGTGACCTAATGAATACCTCAACATAGTTCTATTCGTGCAATTATTCTAGTGTAGATCTACTTTGATATCAATTTTTTCAAACTTTCTCCTCTTTGTTTCCAAGCGAATGCTTTGAGTTTTTTATTCTTTAGAACAGGAGAAAAAGAATTTTCAGAATCTTAGTCTATATATTTCCGTCATTATTAGGGAGAGAGATTAGTATACTGTGTGATTGATATTTTTTTATCGCGATCATAAGGAAAAGATGATTCTAAATCATGATCATGAATTTTTTTTTCAAATGAAAATCACGTTCACAATCACGAATATTGCAAAGTAATTGAAGAGATAAGAAAATTTGTAATCATTTGATCGAAACATGGAATCATTCAAGTAACATGTAATCGATTTTGGGGGAAACATACTTACCCAAAGATTCTGTCAATGATACCGTTACATGGAAAAACTCTGAACAGTGATTACTTTAGAGCAAGAGAGCCAAAAATGGTCAAAAAGTTGATTTCACCATACTTGAGTAGTCCTCATCTGTCCAATATATTTCATTGGATACATTCAATACTAATCGAGAGCAACAACAATAGTCGATTGTTGTTCTTTATTTATTCTAGTTAAATATTTTGGACACATAAAAGATTTTAATAAGTGTTCGGTTTAATAATATGTACCGCTGATCCTGTACGGTTTCATAAAAAAAAAGATATAGAACGATTAATTGAAGAAAAAAATACATCAATGTCTTATGAGAAATCAAAAGAAACCCAGTAGTGTAAAACTTGAATTCAATTGAAATCTCAAGTTTAACACGTATAGTTCAAAACATCACATGCTTCGATTACTGTGTACACAGAGACGTGCATGGGTCGCGACTCTTCAGGAGACACTCTGCGCTTTCACGCCACGGCACTTCTATAAAAGGTCGCTTAGACGAGGAAAAGCGCTTACTTCCTTCAGTGAATATTTGTAGAATTATTGAAGAGCTCAGTTCAACTTTCAGGATTAACATGTATCTGAAAACTTGAAACTTCAAAACAGAGAATTTCAAAAATTGAATACTTGAAAGCTTGAAATTTCAATTGAATTCAAGCTTCAAGTCTAACATGTATATAGGAAAGGAAAATATATACAACGAAAATGACAGCAGTGTCACTGTTGTTGCGTGACAGAAACTATGAAAAATGTGACCTCCGTAGGGATTGAACCCACATCTTCTGCTATCCAGGCAATTGTCCAAAGTCAGTGAGACTAGAAGACACACATTAATCTTCGTTTAGCGTCAGTGTCATCACTCACTGATGCTAACAAAATTATCATTTTTTTCTGATTTAACTGTGAACATTATATTTTGGAATAAATATTATATATTTTGAAAGTATATTTAATAGTCGTTATAATGACATTTTAATTTCGACCACGACAACGATCACGAGAAAAAACCATTTACCATTCACCATCACAATCACGATCATGCGTGATCATGATCGTGAAATTTTTGATCATGCAGTACACTAATAGAGGCACAAAAACTTCGGCTAATATTTTCTAGTTACAAGAAATATGATGCCAACATTTCAGCGTTCTTGAATTTGTTATAAGCGAGAAAGAGCAATTTTTCTGAGAGTCCAATATTTTTGGATCACTCTTTATATATCACCTTCCGAAATGACTCATTGTTCAATAGCAAATTCATGGTAAGCAGATTTTCAACTTTATACAGGTAAAATAACAACATAACTGCAAAAATCAATAAAAAAACCAAACTAACAATAAATTCAATTTTTATGCCATTGAAGCCGGATGGATTATTTTGGACACATGCTGCATCTCCACAGTGGAATGACTTCACCCAAATTTAACTCTTCTGATGTCATGATTAGCATCTGTTAAAGTTACTCCGGTGATTGACTCAACATCTACTCTACTGGATGGGTGTCAACGAGTAAAGGGTTAATACGATGCATTTAATTACGTCAAAAGATGTGGGAGCTCGTTACTTGTCAAAGTATAACAGTAACCTCTTGCGTTAGACTAACGCCTACCATTTTAATTGTAACTTTTACCACATTTATAAGATCTATATGCTTTTAACGTTCTTTTGATCGTTGTCTTTTATAGATTTAAAGTTCTTCTTCTCAATACGACAATATTATTCTCATCTGCAAAATCGTTGCCAGCGAAACGATTACCAAGTTATGAATTTTCCGTCGCCATATGCAAGCGTACTTCCACATCAAATTCATCTTGGTAAACCACCTGAAATTCGGGGAGTAGAAGAAGCTAAACAGCTGAGTCGTATTCAAGGATCTCTCCTAGGTCTAGCCGTGGGCGATGCACTTGGAGCAAGTGTTGAATTTCGATCTCATCAGTATCTCGTGGTACATCCCGTTGAGAAGATGCAATCTGGAGGCACGTGGAGCTTGAAAGCAGGCCAATGGACCGATGATACTTCAATGGCATTATGTCTCGCCTCATCTTTGCTGACTACGAAAACGTTTGACCCTTATAATCAAATGGTTCGTTATAAATGGTGGTACAAACATGGTTTTCTTTCATCCACTGGACATTGCTTTGATATCGGTAGTACGACTCGTCAGTCGCTGGATCTATTTTGTCAACGTCAAAAGCAACTCATGAAAGCTTTATCCTTAAGAACGGAGAGTGATGTCGATAAACTTACCACCGCTGATGTTAAGCGTAAACAATCAACATTTAATGTTAATTGCAGTCAACCAGGCAAAGCTGGAAATGGGGCTCTCATGCGTCTTGCTCCAGTACCACTCTTCTACTTCCGAAATCCTCCTCAGGCTGTCGAATTGTCCGGTGCCAGTGCACGTCTAACTCATGGTGACAAGAAAGCTGTCGATGCATGCCGTTATTATGGAGCTCTTATAGTAGCTGCTATTCGTGGTGAATCCCACGATAGTTTGACCAGTCAATCTTTCTATACTGCTCACAAAGATTGGTTCGGATCCGATGATCTCCATGAAGAAGTACTTAGTATAGCCACGGGTTCGTATCAGAAGAAGGATGGTTATGACACAGGTATTCGGGGTAAAGGCTACGTTATAGATGCGCTTAAAGCTGCTTTATGGGCTTTTTGGAAATATCAAGGATCATTCAAGGAGGGTGTCCTTGCTGCAGTCAATCTTGGAGACGATACAGATACAACAGCAGCTATTTATGGTCAGTTGGCGGGAGCTTATTATGGTGCGGAACATATTCCTACAGATTGGGTTGAGAAACTTTATGCTAAAGAGTTGATCAGAAATATCGGTGATTGGCTACATTACGAAGGAGGTTCACTCATCCCAGAAAATAATCAACAAAAGGAATCATCGGATCAGCGAGTTCATTCAATGGATAAGCATTCAAATAATCAGAATACTTCAGAACCAATATCAATGTCTATAACTTCATCACAGTTTCCCAATTCCGATTCGTACGAAATAACATACCCTGTCTGTGAACCAAGCATTCAACAATAAGCACCAAAACAATCCAACACTCCATTACACACCATGGAACATTCTAATGATCTATGCTCGGCCAGTTCTTCTTTTACCAATCCTCAAAATGCACACAATAATTCAAACAGCAATAGTAATTAAATAGGGGGAATCCAATTGAAATGAATCAATGCTTCATTCTGGACATTCAACAAATCAAGATGAAAACTAAAAATGTAGCATTTTCTTTTCTTTTTCGAACGACTGTAACTCCGGAACCTATGGAATCAATTGTTTCTGAATGCAGCTAACAAATATGAGCGGCGAGGGTTTCTCTTTTATGATTCTTCGGTACTGATAACGTTTATAAACAGTAATAAAAAACCAGCTTTTGATTAATATTTACAATTTCTAAATTCGATCGCTCTTTTTTCTTTCTTCCATAAATTTCGATTTAAAAATCTGTCAGTTTGAAATATTAATACGCTGAAATCCAATAATTTACATATTTCATTTTTAATATTTTTTCCAACGTTGAAAATTCTTCAAATCAATCGAAAAATGACACTGCAATATGCATTGTATGTGAGCTGTATTTTGTTGGAGAGTCAGTATAACTATGATTTATATATTTTACTATTCGACCTCTCAACATTTTCAATAGAAGAAGTGATAGGTAAACAGCTTTTAGAACTCTTCATTGATTCAAGAACAACTGAAAGTAATATGTACAGACTCTTTTATTTATGAAGCCGATTGCTTAACGGTTCTATGAAAACTCAAATATCTCACGTTCAATGTTTTTATTTTTTTATAGTAGTTCATAATTAAAATGTTTTGATGGATATGGATGTGGATATGAACGTGAGTTGGCGTAGGTGAAGAGGTGCCCCTCCCTCAGATCACTCACATCCGCTATAGCTTGTTCAATAATAATCAAGAATTGTCTCATTTCCAAACTTTCTGTTGAAGACAACCAATACGACCTTGACGAACGAAAGGATGAAAACATTGCATTAAATATCATGTCGAGAATGAGAATTTTTCGATAAACAATTTTCTAATACCGTCATTAACAGTAGTATAGTTACGAATAAAATAAGTCAGTTTCTAGTTATACGACTACTTTTAAAACTCATTCATTGATAATTATCCATGCTACGACTTATGGATTTCATGCCAACGTCTGCATCAAGATTGAATTGTGTCGTTTCTATTTTTAAAATACCATTGAAAGTACTAATGTGGAAATCACCAGTTTCTTCTGTTAAGGTCATCTCTAATACATATACAAAAAATACATGTAAATTAGGAGTCAAAGGAACAATGTCACTGGATACAAATGTCATCACTACCGATGAACTTGAAATCAATGAAAGTCATCACTTTTGTCAATATCATCTACTGTTTAGCATGCAAATGCATACTTACATAGATTAGAAAGTGTTGAGTAGAGGTTAATTCATATTAAGTCGATCTACATAAGCATGAAGGATAGCTTGAAAAATGGGTATGTGTGGATGTGAATCTTAGTGAAAAGAAGAGCAACAACGACACCAAACACACTTCACATACCCCGAAAATTCATGCTCACATCCACCAACAGACCCACCCTCAACAATATGTTCAAATATTATTTGAAAATCAAGAAAAGACCATTCGAATGAGTATATATATTATTATATGAAAGTAATAAAATGTCATATTGGAAAGAAAGAAATGTTAGTTTTGTGAAGAAAGAGTTTGCAAAAAGAACGGTGTCATAAAGTTTAGTGTAGTTTAAAGAATTGAATAATAGACTTATTATTAGAAACTGAATTATTATTGACTTATTTCTGCTATTTAGCTAAAACCTAACAAGTGATAAAAAGTCATCGTATCAAGTGCTTCGTTCATGCCTCCATCGGCGTTGATAGTTGAACAATAGGTTATGGCATAGTTTAAACGCTCATACATGATTTCAGTCGTTGCATATTCGGGCAAATCAAGGGTAAAAAAATGTATGTGGTCCTAGAAAAATATCATACAAAACTTATTACGTATTTATTTCAATACACAAAAGTTTCGTTGCATTTAACTAACATCTGACAAGCACATACTTCACTACACTATGACGAAGCGAATTTAATATTTTTTATTTAGTTCATACTTTGAAGTTGAACAAGAATTTTCAAAGAAAGTGAACATACAAAATATGAACATTTAGCGTATACACCAATATTTCACTCATTCATGTATATCTTCAAGAAATAAGCATTAACTTCAAATTCTTTGAATAGACTGGTTCACCTACTAAATCATTCATCTTCTTGTTCAGATTTGATTGATATATTGACTTTTCTAGTGGATTTTTCCTGCACTGATAACATGTTTCGATGAAATCCTAGATGTTGAATTTTGACCATAGAATACTGCACTGAGATGAACGTTTCAAAAAGTCTAGCTTATGAACCAAATTTCAACAGTTTTTGATCGGTCGTCTCTCAGATATGGATTTTCTAAACTATGCATGCTGTGCATAGTATTAGTTGAAAAGTCAATATATTTTGAAAAATCCATATCTCAGAGACACTTGATCGAAAACTACAGAATTATTGTTCATAAGCTAGTCTCACTATGGCATTCATTTCGGCAAAGTTTTCATGTCGACATTCTACAATAATTTTCTATCGAAACATTACTTCTATGCCAAAAAGATATAACACAAAAATCAACATAATGATCACATCTCAACATGTGGATTAATTATTTGATAAATGAGTTAGTCTATCAATCGACTACAACGGAACAAAATATAAAGTCAACCTCGTAGGCTACCATTTTATTTTATATCGATAATTGAGCTTGAAAAAGGCAGGAAAAAATTTGTGCATGGATCTCTTTCTTCTCGAAGCATGACCTTTTGATATAGCATTGAACATGTTGAAAGATATTCAGAAAGTCATATTTCTTTAATCTGGATAAAAAAAACCTAGAATTTGGTTTTCTCTAATATCTAGTGACTGAAATTCTGAACTTGAGATAATACTTACGTGGAAGAACTTTATCTACTTCATTACTATTAAGATCATAATAGTTTATAATAATATTCGATGTAAAATCTTCGTCTCGACTTGGTAATGTATTTCGTTACCAAACAAATGTTTAAAATGATTTCTTCTGTTCTTCATTGAAGAATGTCACTAAGAACTTTTCAAAATCATTGAATATGTGGCGAATCTTGATTGAAATTACCACCATAATGCGTATTCTTTTTCAACAGATCTATATTGATTTGATCTTCTCCACATACAGCTTTCTCTAGTTCTTCGGCTGTAAATAGACTTTAAAAAATACCATGAAGCAACGCTACACAAGCCTCGTCGAATCAAATGAATTTGTTGATGAAATTCATTCAGATGATAATGTCGATAACTGAACAATATTGTGTGAAATTATTAGACGTTATTGGGATATTCATTCCATCAGGAAAAAGTTCATAAGTTTGACCAGTCGAACTAACTACGTCAAAGCGAAATTCACTCATGATACTACTAAATAAATAATTCATATCATTATCGGTGTTAATTGACTTTATTTGTTTAAAACTTTTTCCCATTTCGTTAAGAATAGCGAAACTTTGTATGTCAATGGTTAGAATGTCTTCGATAGTAATTGTTTCTCTCATATAGCCAAGCCTATTAGTTGTTCTATGAATCGATATTGTTTTTTGAACTCATCTGAAATTGATTTATTCGGCGAGAATAAATTGGGAATCTAATAATCTCGATTTAATCCACTATTAGTTCGTCCATTTGGACATAAAGTGAACAATGACAATTGTGCTTTTAAAGAATTAATTTTATATTTTGCAGAAAAATCAGTAGTATTGTCTTTTGTATTAATAGGTAATACTTGTTTGAATTGTTTGAAGCCTTTCAATTCATTAAGAATTAATGTATTAAAAACTAATTATTTATGCCTCTTAATTCTTTCATTTGAATATTTTCACACAATTTATATACAAATAATTGAAACCAATTAAATGCAATGAAACTTTATGTTCAGGTTTTTCAATAAAAGAAACAAACGATTTAAATAGTATTTCAACAAATTGATGATGATATAAATGATAGATATCGTCTGATTCATAGCTCAAATTAAGTAGATCGAATATATTTTGTATTAATATTTTTGATTGAAATGTTATTGATTGTATTTAAAAAGATAGAACGATTTTAATAACTGAATAATAACTTTTTCGAATTTCTTCTTTCAGTTAAAAATTTGTTGCTTGAATATTTGCCAAACCAGACCATTCCAAAAGCGAATTTCTTAAATGTGATAAATAATTAACAAGAATTGTCATAACTCGATTTTCATCTTTGAGATTACCAACATTCTGAATAAATATCTCAATAAATCGACATGTAATAAGTCTTGTGATTGCTCGTTCATATTGTCGACATAGACATTTTTAGAGTTCATCACATTCAAATTTATTTCCTTCACTTACTATTGTTATTGCTATTGTTATTTTATAAAAAAATCGCCGTAAATGTATGCATCAATGGCTCGGTGGAGGATAATTTCATAATCAAATTTTTGTTCGATGGCTTGCTTCTTAGCTAACATTAATTTTTTTTAATCGAATACAAGCTTGTAATACAGGGTGGAGTAATTTAATAACATACTTTGCTGTTGACCATCGTGAACTTTGTCGTTGCAATACAAACTCTTTTTTCTGTGATATCTCAGGTATTAGTTGTGGTAAATCTTCTTGAATAATCGGGATTAAATTGCTTTCTTTAATGAATAACAATAGAAGTAATGTGTTATGTTTAATTTGTTTGTGAAATTCATTGCAATCGCCACTGTGCGCTTTTATCGTTGCATATAATTTTCAAACATGATTAGCATATTCATAGATAGATATAAGTCGACTATGTGGTTTACTCTGATCCGTTCGTAATAATTCATGTTTGGCAAGATTTACTCGTCGATAGAGTTTTATATGTACAGAAAAAAAAACAGCAGCACATGCATCATCCACTTGTTCAATTGATTTCTGTAATAAAGGTTGTTTGTGTTTGATAAACATTTTCATTTTCAATATTAATTTTGCTCCTCGATCCACATTGTTATAAATTGATATTAAAAAATCACTGTTAGACAATGATTCTTGAACTAGATTTGTCAATTGAAATCGACTATAAATAGCAACATTCCAGTTGGGTAAATTCAATAGATATGAACTGTTTTTTCTTGTTAATTTTTCATGTTCACCAGTAAAAATGACTGGTTTCAATACTATCAACGTGTTTTAGTTCGAAAGAATCCAATAGCAAACCATTAATCATTACCTCAGTCATTTTGTCTAATAACTAAGACATTAAATGTCGATGGTTGTCTTCAATTATTGTATCTTGCAAAATATATCCTGCTACTAATGGCAAAATAGCTGCGAATATTGGTTGAATAGTGGTGAAATGAAAAAATTGATCTACTTTTGTCATCAAACATAAACTAATAAGACTTGAATTCAATAAATCATTGATGAATTGCTTTTTTATCATTATATTTGTTAAATATATAAGTAATATATTGAATGACAAGAGAAGATGTAAAAGTAGAAGTAGATGAACCAAATCTATCAATAGATTCATTATGAGATAACTGCTTTAATTGATATAATAGAAGTTTTTCAAATGATAAAACTATTTTTTCTATTCGTTGTTTATGTTCATGGTCAATTTCATTCGGTGTACTGGAACAAATATCAATGAATGCATACAAAGTTTTCAATGCCGTTGTTTTATCTACTTTGTTGTTATCGTTGTCACAAAGAATTTCGATCCAGCTGAGCAATGGTTCTTTCTTATTCAATTCAATTAAGAATAGATTGCTTAATATGGACTATCGATTTTCGATTATATATTTGTACATTAATGATAATTTGTTAGTAAATGATGATGTTGTTTTATTGATTAGATAAACAAATGCTTTCGATGCTTCTTTAGATATTATTATTTGTTCCAAATTTTGATCGTCATAGCAAATTAAATTCAATAATAAGTGAAGCCGTTATGTTAATTGATCATTAACTAGAAACTCATTCCAATAAGTATCATTGTTCGATTCACAGGATAAATGTGAAACCATTTTTCTTATTTCTTCGTTTGTTATCAATAGATCTCTGTCAAGATTTGATTGAAATCGATTAGTCGAGTGAATTGTATTATCAAAATCAATATGTGCTAAAATAATGGATGCAAGAAATTGTCCAGTAATTAATTGTTCATCTAATTTCAATAATTGTGAATTTGGATATACTCTCATTGATTTCAAATAATTCAATGATCTCGATGAGATTTCATCTAAAGAATTTTTTTTTCTTGACTCTCAATCATTTAATGAATATGCGGCGATCAGAATTGTATTAACAACAGTAGATTTACAGTGAACATTTTCAAGAAAATAATTGCGTATTTACAAAATCCAGCTACTGCTTTTTTTCTTCAATTTTTGAAAAATATTTCAAAAATACTTTATTCAGGTTAGATATGTAGTTTTTTTCCTCAAAAATGGTTTCAAAACATAGGTTGAATCGATCTAAAATTTTGATAGCTGGTGCCAGGACCGGACGTTCTGGCTTAGGTCAATTGAAGAGAAAGTCTCAAAAAAAGGAACTATTAACTCTTACTGATCAATTGACATTCATAATAGCTTTAATAATATTCCTTCGAATAAATAGTATGTAAATTATCGAGCGTTGTGGAGCAAAGCAATAAAAAAATCAACGTTGTCTTTTGTACACTTTGTCTTCTGTTCATATTTCCTTTTGGTAGCTGATTGACTGATATACTCTCTCTCTCTCTCTCTCTCTGATTCAAAAGCTAAATGAATAACAGTCTGAAACGATTGTTAAGTCGTGTGATGCAATACCACATATGATGGCATCAGCACCTATTCATTAGAACGGTGAACCGAGCAGTCGTTGGTGCCGGTTCCATCTATGTTTCAAATACGTTGTATAATTAGAAGAATGAATCTTTCTATGAAAATTTAGGCAATAGAAAAAATCTTCTGACCTGTTCTTTTCTTCGATGCTGCTCGATTGTCTTCATCTTGATCAGAGTTACAATTGGTCTCTTCATGTGAATTGTTTTTTTCCTGCTGATCCATAGTCTGTGTAAGACCATCATTTAATTTTTGAAATAGATATTGTACATCATAATCATCAACTATATTGAATATTAGTTTGCACAATAATGGTAAAAGATCTTTGATGAATGCTTTTACAATTGAAAAACTCAGTAGAATCTTAATAGCTTGTGTAACTAGAATTGGATCATTTGATAAAGATAAGTTCTGAATGTAATTTGCTAATGGTTACAATGATTTGAATAAGAAGCTGTGATTATTCACTGAAGATAAACACTTCAATGGAATTTGTTCAAATAGTTGACTTATCAGTGTCAAGATTTGATGAACAAGTGTTGGGTCACTTTTTCCGGCTGATTTGATAAGAATCAGCGCATGATCGATGATAGAGTTTGAATACAAAAATAAAATGCTTGCTAAGCTTGAAGTAGAACTTCTCGTTGTTTTTGTTTGTTAATTTGCGATTGCTGATCAATGTTGGTCCCAGTAGATGACGTATCTGTACTCTCAGAAGACGAATCGACAAATTGTGGAGCAAAAAATGATACATCAGCATAATTATCTTCTCTAATTTTCTTCGCTAAAAATATTTGTAGTCTTTGTTGCTTTTCAAAATAAGTTAAAATTTCTTTCATTGCTTCTCTATAACAAGTCTCAACCGAAGGAAACACATTTCCTATGAGTATTTCTTCGATTTGATCATCAATTTGTTGCAATATGACTGATTTTGTTGATAGTGAAAAATAATTCTGAATTTGTTTTGTGAATATTGTTTCTAAATTCGAAATCATATAATAATCATTATTTGATTCAATGCGATTGGTAATTGATGCAGCAGATATTTTTAAAGGGACGAAGAAACTGATATCAGCATTGTCACGAGTCAATAAGATCATATCAGAACTAAGTGTTGTATCATTAGCTTTAGTCGAATCAAATAGTTCTCTATAAACTCTAAATAACTGTTGATCCATTTTTTTTTAAGTATAGACTGCTAAACAAAACAAAATTAAGAATGAATATTAAAATCTATTAGAAATGAGTCACTGTTGCATAAGTTGACACCAACAACGAGTTTGATTACTCGTAGAATGCAAGAGAAACTTATTAAAGTAGCACCGAATCAAGGAAGAAAACATGTCGAGATCAGGGCAGCCAAGTATCGTGATTTAGCCAGAAGACTAATGGTTTTTAGACTTTTCTCCTGGTGAAAAAATCTCTTGGAACCAGGACCTGGTTTGTTAGATTCTCTTCTGGTTTTTAGGGGCTTCATTACTCTTAGTTTTCGTGACATGTTGAATTCAATAAAACAAAAAAAAACATCTATCACACTATTTCATAGATACAACAACCGATAAGGAAAACACGCTGTTTCTGCTTGAGTTCTACAAAATTCAGATGGTCAATTTCATAAACAAAAATCCTATGACAAAGACTTGTGTAACTGTGAATAAAAAGAAAGAACCGACTGTATATTTATCGAATACATACGTTGCAAGAAGATGAGAACACTGAAGTCTGAGACTTATTAGAGGAAATTTTTTGTGACAAACTTTACCAAGTCAAGTAAAAATACTGATTCTTTTTCATTGGAAAAAATTCAAATCGAAAACTGCTTCATGATCATTCATGAAAGTAACTAAACTTTATTTGTGAACATTAACAACGAATGATTATCGAATTCGTTAGCTTGCTCATTTTTGGAAAAATGCATAAATTATCCTTCTTTCTTTTCATTATGTATCAATTAGAGGAGAGTCTTGTCAATAGTAACTTAACGGTAGAAAGAAATAGATAGTTATATGAACGAAAACTTCAGTTCTTTCGAAACAAGCCACTCAAATAGTTACTTCAGTTCCATAAAGACCTACTGGTTTTCCTTCCTGGTTTTTCGGTAAAATCTTCTGGTCAACTACTGGTTTTCTAGATTTGGATTTGGTAGCCCTGGTAGACATGGCTGTGATGAAGGTATAGAATTCTTTGAACTTCAATATTTCAAAACGATTGAAAACCCAAAACTCGGAAGTCCAAAAATTTCCAAGGTACGCTTTTTTTTTCTTTTCACATCTACCACAGTTTGTCGAGCGGGGTGGAAAGAGGTTTGATTTTTCTTGCTATGTACTTCAACACTCATTAGCAATAGTGTTTCACAAAATATCGATTATTTATAAAGAGATTAACATAGAAGCATATTATCTGAATGATTATCATTTTGGGTAAATTGAAACAATTTGACTTTCAGAAGTAATGTGTTAAAAATAGGGAGCACACTGGTGAAAGTTTAAACGAAATGCGAATCGACTCTTCTCACTACTGAAGGTCACCCTCGAAATGAGAAGTTGCCAATAACGTTATCTTAGAAGAATATGTCATTTGAACAGTTTTACTAGGTGATCATTATCAATTTTGGATGTTGTCTTATAAGTATGTTTTGAAATAGGTTCTAGTTCTAACTACATACTATATATTTGATTTCGTCGCAAGACCAAAATTACAGTTTAACTGCTGTCTTCTTCATAAACGTGACGTTTTCTAGTATTGGTAAATTTTTGTGCAAGGACTCGCACATTACTTTAAATAGACCGATTTGGCTTGTAAAAAAATCTTTTTCTTCTAAAAATTTATGTTAAAAATATTCAGAGAATAAAGCCGAATCGTAATCAAGAAACACAATTTCCAGGAGTCTTTAGCCACAAACACAATTTTTCTAATATGGAGACAGGATATCGTGACTAGTAGAAATGTCTGAGATAATATGAGTAAGACTGTTTAAGATAAATGAAGAGCTGGAAGCTAGCGAATGCAGTTCTCAAATTATTTGGATTGACTGATATGAGTTGAAAATGTCAAATGAAACCTGTAGATTAAAATATTGTGTCTCGAAAGCAAAAGTTTTTACATTCGAATAGAAATCTGCACGAGTTGCAACCAATTCAATATTTCTTAGTAGGATCAATTATTCTTCTAAGCTTATTCTAATCCTTCTCTGAAATGAAATTGTCCGTTTGTGTACAATACAAATCTATCTTAAGAATGATTCAGCAGATAATCAATGGCAGAATACTAGACCAAATCGATTAGAAACTATCCTTTCGACTGTGTTCGAGAGTATAGATTATTTTCGTAACAAAAAAAATTGACTTGATCGGACAAAGCAAAAATAGCAAACCTTCAAGTCTTTAAGTAACGAATGCAAATGAATGACAATACGTGAGTGAGAATATAAATTAAACCCATCTTTGTTTTTTATCCCTACAAAATTGCAACTCGCACACATATTATTTGGTATTTTTCGTTTTCCGTTTTCCTTCGGAGATGCACAGCTCACATTTTCACCCAAACAACGTGAACTGTACATCCTTATTTGCTTATTCAGAGAGTGCTTTATGAATGAAACACCGACACACTGAAGCACACGAAACACATGTTAAAATGTTCTTCACGAAATGCATCCGATATTTCGTGCTTAACAAAAAGTTCCTCAGAGTGTCTTTGATAAAAGTGTCCTCGAGAAATGTTCTCTCATGTGAAAATGTTTCTCATCCTCAATTGTTATTTTTTAAATATAATGTTACTAAGAACATGGATGACGCGGTAACTCAAGCATATCTGAACGGATATTTTATGTAGTTGTTTGTATAGATAATTTATTTCTATATAAAATGAATCGAATAAGAGCAAAGGGCGTGAGTGTTATTCATCTCTCCACCCATACCGACTACCATATACACATCGATGTCGACACCCACACCGTCGTAGTATCGTCGAGCCTGAAAAATACTTCTTTAGAGGATAACAAAACATGGTTTTGTTTTGTGACAAACAAACATATGTTCATTCATGTGTCTGTATTCGTATAATCAGAAATACAATGAGTAGTCCTTGATTCAAGTTATAAATAAATATTGCTGTTTGTCTTGTATGAATTTGAAACGAAGCGATCTTCTCCCATCATCGTACTAAGTCTATTAGCTTTTATTAAAATTCATTATATATTGTCGACAATCAACATGGTCTTTTCTTGACATATGCAGCAAAATTAGCTTTTGTACCAGCACGTCAATGTTTACTTCTTCAACATAAAAGTTTTTTGCAAATCATACCAATAATTATTCATTGTCTCCATTATATTCGAAACTCATTCTAACAAAAAGAAATCTATTAGTGATTATACATGAAATATTGAACAAAAACAAAAACACCCCCATCGTCACTCCTGTAAATTATATCAATAAATATCTGTGTAATCAACATCCAAGTCTGTTAAATGCTTTGGATGAAAGTTGTAGATATTGGGATGTGGAGTGTGGGGGGTGGGTGTGAGTATGGAAGAATAGAAGATCTACACTTATATACAGCAGTGGGTTCTGATTTCTTGATTATTTTTTGGGATACTTTTTTGAAAGAGCATTAAAAGCCCAGAGAAACAGAATTGTACGATAAAGTTACAGTGAATCAGAGTGGTTTCAAAACAAAACAGGAAACTAGGAGAATCAGGACTATTGCAAAAAATGCTCTAGAACCATAATTTGTGTTTTTGAAGAAATAAGTAGGATTTATTCGAATAGTATAGGAAATTCATAGAAGCCAATTCAAGGCTTCAAAAAAATACGAATACAAGCAAAAATATCTCTCATTCTCAATTGTTGTTTTTCATATATCATGTTAGTCGTTCTTCAGTGGAAATTTAAGTTGTTTATACAGAAGATTTATTTCTATAAAGAATGAATACAATGAGAACGCTAGACAATTTTATCTAAGCGTGTGGCTGCGAGTGAAGAGAAGATCCTTACTGGTCATCCAGATCATATCCCAAAACCTTCGGAACCCTGCTACGAAAATTATGATTATACCATCGAATAGGGCTCATCGTTTTGCACTAGGGAGATAAATAAAAGATCTAGAGCAAGTTCTCGAGCGAATCGAAGATAGTGTTGCTCGAATGTAATGGTAATGTTCACCTACATTCGGAATTAAATATTACAATTGAAAAAAAAACAATACAACTGGATTTGGCTATGACTAATCATGAATAGTTTTTTTTGAGCAACTGTAGATTTATTTTTCAACTTTTTCAGTTCAATGGTACCGACAAAAAAAAACATACGTAATAGGACCGATCGATACTTATCCTGTAACTCATAACTTCAATGATTTTTCATCTAGCTCTGAAATTCCATTGAAGAGTAGTAAAGATTAGATAATATCAATCGCAAAAGATTTTGTTCAATCTTTAGCTTAATATGTACATTATGTGACGACACAAAGAGTTTGATATTCTAGAACAATAAAAATAATATTAGCAATTATTTATGGCAAAATATCACAGCTTATAGCCTCAACTGAAACTGCAGACTTCTTTTTACAACGCCGTCAGATGGCACTACTAGCTATTGTACTTTATCATCATGTATATGTAAAGTGTTGAGGATTTTTCTTCTATACCAATGGCAATTCTATCCAATCTCTTCATTCAAGTTTCTAAGTACAGAATTCGTTGAGTTTGTCGAAAATAAGTTTCAATTTCTTTCTCATTCGTAAGATGAACACATTTCTTCAACCATCTCATCGTATCCTAACAAATCTTCTATCAAATTTTTCTCATACACGTTGTTATTTATCAACAAGTCCTATTTTAAATAGTTGGTTTGTAAAATTAACAAATGTTACACAAGTTAATACAGAAGCAGCAATACCAAAACATACACGAAAAAGAAATTATCCATTAACTTGTATGAATATATACTTTTATTTTAATAATCATTTTTATTGCTTATATTGCCTAGAAAAGATGAACAACGACAATTTCCAAAATTAATTGGTCATACTAAAACATGGAATACATTTAATACATCAAACTTACGTGATGGAAAGCGTAAAGCAGAAATAGTTTCTGATGATTTATTTCTTCGTCAATTTATTTATGGTACATGGCATTCATTATTTGCATCGGAACTTATTATAAAACGTCGTCATAATATGATTATTCTAAGTGGACTTGTAACTCGAACAATTCATCCACGTCGAATGTATTTTCTAATAGGTTATACTGAGGAAATTCTTTCAGCTTTATTAAAAACTCCTGTTAAAATGGAAATTCAGACTATAGAAAATAAAGATGATGTTATTTTTACATATTGGTAGAAAAACTAAAGTTATTAAACAGATTTTTTCTAACCAATATTTGTTTGTTTCTAGATAAAAATCTTTCTTTCTTTTTCTAATGAATATTAAATATCAAGCAATTTATTTATTATTTATTTTAACAAGAAATACTATGATAATTTGATTTGACATTTTTCTAATTCCATAGCACGTTTTAAAACAAAACAAGAATAAACACTACTGATACTTAACCATAAATATCGAAGATAAATAAATATTGGATTAAAATTTAATTTTAATTCTTTACTTAAACATTGATTATTAATTGAATAAAATATTTCAAATAGATTATGAATATTATTTTCAAACCAATTTAACGATTGACTTTTATTCAATTGTTTAAATTCAATATAGAATGCATTTGGACATATACGAATATGAATTTGATATGTTTGAATTATCCAACGATAGAATAATTCAAATCCAATGATTAATATACCGATACAAATATGTACAATTAGATAGAATCGTGTATAATGCCAAGACATATTATTTATTTCGAAGTGTAATAGGCGCGAAATAGTTTATATTGTTGATATTTATTTTCAGATATGGCCATGCAAATGTGTAACAGACGAGTCACTCAAGTGACAACAAGTTTTGTTCGACAACTGGCTAAACCAATACCAATGAAAGTTGAAGATGATCATCATGATGATGAACATACACATATTTCTCTACCAAAAACACCAACACCAAAAACATTTTTGTCAATGAGTAAATTGTTATTACGTGGAAATGTTTCAATTACAACTGGTCTTAATAGTATATTATTCATTGGTTCTCTCTTGATAGAAACAAATTGTGTTTTTCTTTGTAGCTGCTCTTAGTATTCGTCATGCGCATACTGATATTCAAGTACCAAATTTTGATTATTATCGTCGTAAAGCACGTCTTGATCCATCGAAATCGTATCGAGATGCTGGTGATACCGCTTCACCTTACTCCTATTTAGCTCCTGTTGGTAAGTCTAATCTTTATTGGAAAAAACATCATATACGATGTTGGTTATGCCGTAAAATTTAATAATTGCATTAGAAACATTAGGAAATTATGCTGTATAAAATGAACAATAGTTTGTATCATTTAATAAAGAACCCTGTCTGATTAGATGACCTATTCAGAATTGAAAAACCAAATATAACATGTTATATAGAGCAAGTCGAATGCTATACAGCCAATCTTATTTTCTTCAGATTTTAAAGGAATTAGAATTAATTTACTGATAGACTACTGTACATCCAAAGCATAATCAGTTGTTGATCATTGTGATCTTTGGTACGAGTAAAAATTGTTTGAGACAATTTTTCTTATATATAGTTTTGTAGAGCTTTTCACAAACCGCAAGCTCATATACTTAACATCTTCGATCATTCTATTTTTTGAAACTCACATATATTTTCGAACAAAAAATAGTGAATATAGGCTTTAAGTCGAAATTTTGTGGCTCCCTACCCATTACAAACTTAAGCAATGGAGGACAATTGGCATCAAACTTTTTTCATAGTCTCTTAGCAACGGAAAAAGACGCAGGGAGACATTAATAGTAAGGCTTAGAAATAACTCTTATATTATCAACATAAAAAGCTTGAATTGATCAAGATATATATTAGTGCGTTAAAACTTGCTACTGTGGCTATAATGAATATTTGCAATAAACTCCTCCCCGTATTAGAAGACCTCCCTTTAATCAATTAATTATTCGCTAATTAGGAACTTTAATTAGAGAATTTTCGTCCAGAAATGCACAGTTTTTAGGTTCTTCAGCTGGTAATATTTCGAAAATGAGTCCAAATGTATCCGTCGACCCTTAAAACCGTGAAAATCCCTATAAGAATCCTGAAAATCGCCTCGGATTTCTGGAAAACTACTTTCAGTTAATAATTGGTAAAAAACCTAGGACATAATAGAAGACCAGGGGTCTTCTAATGCGGGGAGGGGATTACCATTATTCGCTATAAAATTCTCGCAAAGAACTGTATAGAAGTATAGAACAAGATGATTTCTAGTGTTCTATAAAACTCTAAAGACATCCAAAGCGATTTCCTGAGCCAAATTTTGACAAGTGAAGACGATTGCTTCGTTTGACAGAAAAATAGCAAAAACTAGGTTTACTGATCAATTGTTTATTTGTTGGGACAATATATGAGTAACAATCGATCTCTCAGCATGAAATTGCAACCCAACTCATAATGCTACATTTTTCAAAAGATAACTTCATTTATTTGAATACTGAAGACTACAATCTTGACAAGTTCGTGATAGTCATCGATGTGCCATTTTGGTTTAGTAAAGGACTTGCTTTTGAAGCTTTCAGAAAACAATGGTGAAAAACCTTCTGAAAATGTCACAATGATCTATTAAACTATAGCCGAATTATTAGCTTTCCAACGAAATTCTATAGATTTTCTTTTTTTTGGTATATCTACGTTTTCAGTAAAAATAGTCTAGTTCGTCAATAGTTTGATAAATTTCAATATAACTTATATCAGAAATAGTTGAAATGCAGGACTAGAAAATGAGAGATTGGACGGCTCGAGAAAGTTTATCTCTTCTTGATCTACGAGATGCACAGTGATTGTGGACACTACCTATTATAACTTTGTTCCAGCTTATGTGATTTTAACGCGGATGTTACCGCTGACCTACATCATCTGTAGACTGCCTGCAGAAGAACTTTCAGATGTTTGGCTCTCATATGGACTAAGATCTTGCAGAGAAGATACTTTTAAGTAATTTTAATATTCTTTTTCCATAATTTTAGTAATAAACTATACATAAGGGTAAAAATGCGAAGTCACAGTAACAATTTTGTAGTTTTTCAGCTTTATTAATTGTTAAAATTTAGCATCCCAATATTGAGAGCGTTTGCAAAAAATGTAGCTGGGAGATAAAGCGGTTAACATCAAATAAAAAATAAAAAAGTTTAGTACTCGAACAGATAATGTTTTCGATTTTTGTCGAAATTAAAAAAAAAATTCTTTATTGCAGTGCTATTGTTCTTCATTTCTTTTAGGTCCTGTAATCTACTGTTTTAATTAGGAAGAGAACATTTTCGTTACCGCTCTCGTACTGTTGACAATCTTTCTTTTATCATTTCGTTGTCTCAAATATAGGTTTAGTTTTTTAATTATTGATTTGGTTGTTGTATTATTTTTCTAATTTGTTTCATGTAATTTTTGTTGTTAAAATTTTGATATTTTATTTTCAAAATAAAAGAAAGAGAAAATAATTTTGGAAGTTTTGTATTTGATTAAAACTTTATCATGTTATGATAAATGGACCGTCGATAGGAGTCTGAATAATCTTATCTATTCTCTTTATCAACAATCATTCATACTAATGTTGAATGACCAAAGTAGAATGTCATATATTCATTTATATTAATCAGACAAAACAAATGATGATTGTTTTAATAAATAGATAATGATTTATTGCTTTCTCTCTTCTCTATGGACAATGTTTCTTGTTTCTTGTTGATAACAAATATTCTTATCTTCATGGAGTATGGAGAATAAATAACACTAACTGTTACCACTTTGTTATAAAGAGCGAACTAAGTAGGTCCGACAAATACAAGTTTGAACACTCGCATTATGCATTCAATTATAAGGATTTAAATCTTCAATTTAGAAGATATACTTTTTTTTGTAATTGTAAACTATTTAGATTTCTCTTTATGAAATATTATTGGTAATTTTTGGTACAATTATGACTGCCAAGAGTACTTCATTACCATCACGGCCAAAATCTACTAATATCATTATGCTCAATTCAAAACAAGTATTAGATATTGAAGGATAAACGTCGTCAGTAGGTCAGAATAAATACAACAAAGATGATGATGAAATGAAAAAATCAAAAGTGGTTAAAATTAATGTTGGTGGAGAAATAATAATGAGTACTCGTGATATTTTAACACGTATACGCAGTTCTAAACTTGCTTCAATGATTAATGGAAACTGTGAAGATATTTCAGCTTTTGATTGTGATGGTAATATCTTTCTCAACTACAATCCAATTCTATTTTATCACTTACTTGAACAATTACGAACTTTGGAAGATGAAAATTTTCCCATATTTTATCCTCCTAAATCTCGACTACTGGTCATACCATTTAGACAAATGTTTCAAGAATTAGGCTTTCGAATAGCATCACTTTCCAATGATGATATTATAACACTCAATGTCGGTGGTGAAATATTCGTCACACGTTGTCAAACACTAACTCAAGTACCTTATTCAAAATTGGCTATTGTTGTTTCATCCTATCAAATAATCGATACAGATGAAAATGGTTATTTATTTCTTGATTATGATGCAAGATTATTTCGATATCTTCTATCACAATTACGTTCCACATCTTGTTCACAAATCTCTACATTTCAAGGACCATCCTCCGATGATAGAAAAGAATTTAACGCAATGCTCATCCGTTTAGGTCTCATTGGTAAGATTTGACTTAGAATACAGTTGAAATCTACGAGTGAAAATATATTGTTTTATTGAGCAGCTGCCTAATTCGAGTTCGAATATAAATGGAGAAAAGAAAAACTAAAACTACTCGATAAATTTAGGAATAGATTTAGTTTTAGTTTAACTTTCTGATATATGCGACATATAAACNTTATTCCCATGATCTGTTTTAATTGTATGTACCGTTGCATTGTTGATGAGAGATGGTACTTTGAAAAAACAATATTAGAACCAATCTTTGAGTATTTCTTTAAAGGACTGGGGAAAAAGCTTTTTTTAGCGCCTCTTGTAATTATTAAGACAAACTTTATTTTAATTTACCAATTGTTGATCGTTTTCCATCTTGTGGCATCCTATGACGATTTTCACTTGTACACCATGATGTTAATGTTCGTATCAATGAGAAATCTTTTGATGTTAAATTTAATCGATGAAAAAATTCTTTTCCAAAATAATCATTCCATAATAAACGATGATGACAACACAATGCAATAATAATAGCTCGAATACTGTGACAATTATGTTGAGCATTAACAGCACAACGTAAAGCAAGATCAGTTGCACCTCCACATAAATGCTTACTTATAATAACAACTTGTTTTTGAAATTGATTATTTTTTATTGAAGGTAATTCCGATAAATAAAGATCACGAATATCAAGTCGATAACGTTCAAATGATGGACCTTGATGTTCACGACGATGATGTGCATCATAACGATAACGTTGATGATCACGTTCAATAAGTGTAAAATTAACTGATGATTCTTGTTTTAAACAAGCATGAAGTTCATGAGATAATTNGACAAACAAAGTCAAGCTTCTGTAAAAGAATCTTGTAAATTTCTTATGAAGATTCTATAAAAGAATTCTCCTAAAGCTTTAAGTAGGACAGAGAAACATTAGATTAAAGAGAAGTAAACGAAAGCTGAAATAACCAGAAAATCATTTCATTTTATCTTTCATTTAAACAAAACATGTATTTGCTTGAACAAGATCTAATTGAACTAAATGCTCTATTAATGATCCAATTTGTTGTAGATGTTTACGTGCACGATTACCAAGTTCATTAGCATTTACATTTGATAAATAACAATCAAGATTTGTTTGATTATTTTCAAGAGGTTCTTTAACAAGATCATCATGTATAGTTTCCATACGAATAATAAATTCTTGAACTTCTTCATCTGTTATTTCTTGTAAAATTGTTGGATAATCATCATGATTATCACATTCAAGTCCCGAATTACAATTAGGTCGATGAAATGGACCAAGAATCATAGGACGTTGATTACATTTACGAATATGTCGTTGCAGATCATGTGGTGATATCGAATGTAAAGGATTTAATGGACATGGAATACGTAACGAATTTTTGGTAGTCTAAAAATAAATTAATTTGTTTTTGTTTTGTTTAAATGAAAGATAAAATGAAATCATTTTCTGGTTATTTCAGCTTTCGTTTACTTCTCTTTAATCTAATGTTTCTGTGTCCTACTTAAAGCTTTAGGAGAATTCTTTTATAGAATCTTCATAAGAAATTTACAAGATTCTTTCACAGAAGCTTGACTTTGTTTGTCACGTTTAGGGAAGCAACCAATCAAAATTTGAAAGTTTGCCGGGATCAGAACTACAAGAGAATAGTTGTACGAACCTGAATTAAAGGTTATAGTTAAATATTCTATGGTTTTAATCAATTTATCTTATAAACCGTTAATCAGAACATAATTCAAGAGACGTAACCCAAAAAAGTGCTACTCTTGGATTAAATAAATCAAAAAAGGAGTACGAAAGAGTTCTTTTGTGATACAAAGAAATTCTAGGATAGTTATTTTAGGTCCGGATCCGAAAAACTAAAATCATTGGAAGCAAAAAAACTTGCTTCTGCTCATCTTTAGCCATGATATATGAAATGGTCTATTGAAATATAATATGAAGCTTTCTTATGTTCGTTAACTCCTATGAACTTTCAATTTATAAATTAGACCTAACAAAACTTCTGTTGCTTCTATCATCGCTCTCTCTCTATATATACGTTTAATAAGATCATCGAAATGAAGATGTAATCAACTTTATATTTGAAACTTGCAAACAAAGATTAAACGAAACACCATATAGCAGTTAGAAGTCTCAAAAAACTTATTCGAAATTTAAAACCAGAATAGTACAAGCGATGAATATTGGTGTTTACTTTGCTTTATTAATGAAAAGTGAAGAATGATCCTTTTGAAAATATAATTTCGAAGAACTTTGTAAAACTATGAACGCATTAGAAGATCCAAGATTTTCTATTATGTCTCTGAAAAAGTCTTTTATGATAGTCCCAACGACAGTTTCCAATTTCTACTCTGTTTTTTGTCAAACTCATCGTTTGCAAATGAGTTCATTTTACTTTTTCGGTACGCCTAAAATGAAAAAGAAACAGGTAGTACAGCGTATCTCAATTGTATTTCTCCCCTTCGTTCTCCTTACTTAAGTCTACTGTACTTTGGGGTTTTCAATAATTGACATCTAGCGAAAATATATAAAAAGATGGCATAACTTTTTATAATAAAAGTCAATCAAGGTATTTTCTACAATGAACTTTTGAATACTTATACAAAAATTGAAGTTGTATATGTTCATACGCACAAAAATAAAGAAGAGACAAGAACTCGACTTACTCTTATTCTACCTGGTAGTGAAAACGATATATCATATTTTTTTCTGATGTTATTATTTGTTCTCTGGATGTTATGTGTCATTTATGATTAATATATCGAGCGATGCAATAGAGTCTATACTTTCTCACTAGATATCAATTATCAAAAGAAAAAATAATCCAACTGCACTAAACTTAAGCAAGAAAAACAAAGAAAAGAAATTCGATTGACCGGCGCTGTACATTATTTCAAAAGAATGTTATCCATGTGAAAAAAAATAAGACTGTAATCGAGTAAAAATAGTCTCTTTTCAATTTATTGTCAATAAAGAAATAATTCTTAATCGAATATATTGCCTTTTTTAAGCGCATGAGTGTATGACTCTAGTAGTGTATTCATATAAAAACAAGATATTCATACATTAAAGCGACGATTCTATATGACTAACTATCATCCTTTAATTGAATCGAAGTCTTTCATCACCATTTAGCAGCAGGTTAAGATTCTTTTTTTTTCATTTTTTGCTAGGCGTTCTTATAATTTGATAAGAGATATTGAATCTCCTCGAAATGGAAAAAGTTCAAACCTGAACAGTGACGAATTAGAATAATTATCACATAAATAAATTCTAATGAAATCGCTCGAAAATATGAGCTCATCATCAACTAATGGAGTTACATAGATGATACATGTTTGCATGTAGTAGACGGTTTCAAATGTTTTTTTTTTATGAGATAACATTAGCAGGATAGGGGATCAGGATACCTTGCCCTGTTTGATAATAGTCTCTGCTACAGAAATCATACAACAAAATCGATTGTTTAAGAGGTTGTTCTAAACTTTCTTGCGCTTTGTGTATTTAACAGGAAGAATCTACTAATAATAAATCGAAGGCTTTATTTGTTTATCGATAGTCAACTATTTTGTTTCTGAGAAATAATTTAATTTCTTTTTTACTTCGTCTAAATCCGGATCATAAAGTACATGTTCCATACAATACATAGATAAATGATTAGAAGGTAACATTTTACATTGTCGTTGTTTTCGTGGACATACATATTGACATCGATTTGGAACTTTTTCATCCGTCATTATCTAAAACAATCAAAAGTATTATTTTGATTTTATTCAATTTTTCGATTCATTAAAATATATGTATCAAATGAAAGATCAAGTTCATATTCATCATCAAATACATCAAGGCATTTCAATATTCTAAAAATAAAAAGCTCATGATATTCTGTTATTTATTTCTTTATTCATTTTCTTACTGCAATCGAAGATCATCCAAAGCTGTACTTTCACGATGTTGTTTTAGAAAATTTTGAAACCCCGACCATGATGCCATATAACCTAATAATCTTCGGATTGACCATTTACATTCGATTACGACACTGTCATCTCTATTATATGTAAGAAAAGTTTTTATTTTTATTTTTATTGTATTTATTTTAATCGATTTTACCGAATAAAATCAGTTGATGAAAGTGGAATTTGAAATTTTTCGTCTCGATATCGACCAAAATAAGCTTCTTTACTTTCCTTTTGAACATATCCATCAAGTGTATTTTTATAAAACTAACCATCAAAGACAAATTATTTTTTTTTTTAATTTTATTATTCTATTAATAGATTACATTCGCTATAATTTCATTGAGTTGTTCTGATTTTCGCCCACATATTTGCACAAATGCATAACCAAAGAAAGCAAGTACACCATTGATTTTAAGAGTTCGTTTAACTTCATTATAAAAATGAGGAAGATCAAGCCAGTGGGCTGCTTGACCTGATATAATTAATGTTAATGATGAATCTTCATGTGGAATGTCATTGTCGACAAGAAATCTATAAAATAAAAAACAAATTTTTTTTGTATAATTATCAAATGTTTTATATAAATCAAGATACTTATAATTAATATTTGGATGCGCATTAATTTCATTTGCTTTGTTTATTTGATATTCACTAATATCATAACCTAGAAAAAAAAGATGAGGACTAGAATTTGATAGGAATTTTCATACCGATTATTCGTTGAAAATATGAAGCAAGTAAAATTGTACTTTGACCCGTTCCACAACCCATATCTATAGCTAAATCTTCATCCTGTATAGTGTGCTATTAGGTATACATATATACATATCAAAACTAATTTATTTATTATTTTAAGAATATATTACTTTAAGAGATAAATAATCAAGAATTTTTTTTATAACATCAGGAGGATATGTCGGTCGACATTGTGCATAAAAGTCACTATGCGCAGTAGTCTCATAAAACCTTTTTGACTTATCTGAAGTAAGAAATTGATTTAGTTTTCTTATTATACTAGTTTACTATTTATCTATTTTAATTTCATTTGAATAAATCTCAGCAATAATTCTTTTCGTCATTTCTTCAATATATGTAATCATGAATCAATAGGGGATATATTCAATTGTTGATTATCAGTATCAAAGTCCGATTAATCACTCTAGCTGTATTTCTTTCAAACTAAAGGATTTATAATTGTTTTGAATCATTTCATTTAACTTATAAATTAGAGATTATTTCCAGAGTAAACATCTATTGTACTCTAAGCTATAAAAGAGAACGAGAAACACTTGAACTTCAATCCTTACTGCATGTTCCTTTTACCCTACGCTCAATTTATCCTAATCCTCGTCTACTTTACACAGCTCTACTATTGACCGTCTTTAGTGTTGTACTAATAAATAAGACTTACTCAATTTTGTTGCAGAGAATTTTTTCATTCAATAAAAAGTATGTACAATCATTCAGACATGATTCTATTATACTGTACATAGGAACAGAAAGATAAAGAATAATCGAGATCAAGATTACAACTCACTCCAAACCACTAATCAAATTAAATAAGATCAGACACTTTTTTCCACTCAATATTCTTTAAAACGTATAACTTTCTTTTTTTTTTAATATCAAATTTCTGTATTAAAGAAATAACAATATTGAACAAAACAAAGTTTTACAGAACACAATGCAAAACAATTAATTGTTCACTTCATTGTCACTATCCGTATCATGATTTTGCATTTGTACTTGACTCTGACAAAAAAAAACAAATATTAAATTTCTTATTTGTTTTTAATAAACTTACAGATAGGACATCAGCTAATTTATTAATATCACGTTCTCGAGATATATCAGCAACATCTTTTGGCATTGCATATTGTGTATAACTATTTGGTTTAATACCATTTTGTGAATTGATATAACGAAATTCTGGCTTTTCACTGTTGTTCTACAATAAATTGAATGTTAAAAAAAAGGAATAGTAACAAATAAAAGCATTTACTTGTAATGATAAAGTCAATAAATCAGGCCAATCAAACAATAAACTATCGGTCATTGGACCCCATGGATTAAAATCAATGATATATAATTTATTCTGAAACCAAGAGAAACAAAAAATGATTTCATAAAGTCGTTAATTCTAAAAACAGAAATATTTACAGAGTCTTTGCGATAAATATCAACAACAAAATCAACAGATGGAAATTTGTTTTGAATATTAGTGTTAAAAAAATCAACTATATTAGTGATGATTTGATTAGCTGCTGGTTCAATAAAGTCATAATAGTTTTCACTATCACGTTGACTAATAGCTATAATAATATTAATGTCAATGATGAATAATTATCCAGGAAAGAAGGACTTCACCGGATTTGGTCATCTATCTTGAACCAAGATACCATATATATATATGGTTATGTATAGTAATTTACCGCGCACTCAATAGTATATAAGAAACCAAGATCTATGAAGATTTTGATGTGCTAAGAATTTACATACTGATCGTAATCCTTGAGGCATTTGTGTGGTATTCATAGGTATTCCTAAGATAAACTTATACACATTTTGCTTTTATAGACAATTCGATACAGTTTTGGTACTTTTCAATAGTTTTCATCTTTGCTTTCTTCAGTGGCACATTATCGAGTTCTATTTATTTTGCACATAAGATCTTTTTGAACGATACAGACTCATTATCAACTTACAAAAGCGTCTTCTGGAATCGCCTGTTTTTCTATATGAAGGAGCAAGTATATTGGCAATGTTTTAACAATACTTAACGGCCCTATTAAAATTTTTTATATATCAATAATCAGAAAAGTATCTGTGATGAACTGATATAAATAACTATAATACAAACGCTAAAAAAAATTGTCAACCTCTGGATCTCTAGAGGAGGTGGTACGAGTATAGGTCTCCTATTTTTATTATCTCTTTTTCAAATTTTTGTTCCCAGTATTCAGGTTTGATTTATGGATGAAATTCTACAAGAATCTATAAATATTTCATATTCATTTCAAAAGAAGTTTCAAGTTGAAATTCACTTGTTTTGTGACAGAGTTGCGCACACTGAGAAATCATACAGTCAAGAGATGACCTAGATTTAAGAAAAGAAACCATTTTTAAGCATGAAGCAAGCAACAATAAAAACTGTTGAAGAGCACCTTTAACTGTACCGAATTGCGTTTAAAAACAAGATTTGTATAAGTTTATCTTAGGAACTACAATATCTCTGAGTAGCATTTATATTCCTCGAAGATTATGATCATTATATAAATCCTTAGCACATCGAAATTTGAGAAAAACTCTATCTTTTATATACCATTCGATACGTCGCATATTGTTGTGCAAGACCAAATATATGATAGCTTGATTCAAGATAGGTCAATAAATCTGGCAGAGTTTTTTTTTCCAAACATTTTAAGAATTGAGCAAAACATACCGATAATTCGGTGATTTTTTACAAAGCATCGAAATTCTTTTGATGGTTGTAAAGCTGACCATTTTCTTAGTACAAGTACATATTGAATTGTTGATAATAAATTATTAGTATCATCATAACAAAATTTAAATCTGTGGCATAAAGTGAAAGTAAAGCAAATAAGAAAAAAGAAGATTTTAATGTTTACGGTTCATGAAGATCATGTGTAATGAAATCAGAACTTTTTAAAAGTAGAAAAATATCAGCTAAATTCATACATTTTAATCGACTATCACTAATCATCCATCGAGCATCCTAGATAAATAAAACATTTCGTAATAATTCATCATAAATAACAGGTGATCGAAAAATTTAGAAATGATATGTTTGTTCACATTTTATCCGCTAGAAAGTGTTTCCGACGAATCAAGAACTTTGAATTAGGATAGGAATTTCGCCGATTTCATGATTGTGAATTAAAACACTCCAATCGACTACATTGATCGGTTATGTTTGTCTATGTCGTAGCCATGAATTGAATATGTCGTCTCAGATCATACTTGTATGATTGATGTCTATCAGAACTCATGCTGCTGCATTTTGGATACAGATTTCTGAATGAATAACATTGCCAGCATATCTAGGGTGTGGATTGTGGATGTAAATCATTTTTGTAACCTACACTCACGTCCAAAATAAGATTATTAGCTGAAACAATGAAGTCTCTTGCTCATCTTGTTCGTGAATCTGTTTGTCGTGAAGGAACAGGAAAGAAAAACGACAATAGTATTTCGACATCAGACTTATCTTGTTCATTGACAAATGAACATTAGGTTATGTTTTATTTGTCTTTTTTTTTTCATATTAATTTGGCTTCTTTGTTATTAATAACATGACTTGCTCATATTCGAGCACACCCTGAGTGTAAGCTATAATATACATATTCTAACAATTTTAACTTCAGTCCTCACATGTATCCTATAGTAATATTGTTTTGTGACAGCTTGCAAAAGTCCATCTTACTGTCGCTAATATGCTCCATGGAATTTTGGTCTCTTTTTGAATATGGATCTAGAAATTTTATCATAGTCTTTGTTTGATAGTGACGAAATAATCTTCGAAAAGCTCAAAAAATTCTTTGGAAGAAAATTTTTTGTATTTTCACTCTTGTGATTTGAAATCAAAAGTTGGAACATTTATTAATATATCAGTTTTTAGATCAGAGATTACCCAACAAAATGCACTATTTTTTTAATCTTTCGATAAGGTGCCTCTCTTTTCAGAAAATCGACAACCGTTTTAAGTTGAAAGGATCACTTGGAAAATACGTCGATAAAAACTCCAACTTACTTCTGTATCACAATTTTTTCAGAAGTGTCTGCAGTACAAAAACGACCAACTCCAACAGTTTTTAGCAAGCTCGAATTGGACTTATAAGGTAAACAAAAACATGTTGACTCACAAATAAAAGTAATTTCTCAAATCTTTCAAAAACGTCTCACACTGCTCTTCAACAAAAATAGCCACAACATGTCTAAGTTCATACTCAAATTGTGGTCACGAACTATTGCTTTTTGACTCTTCTGAAATGATTTGAAGGAGATCAAAATAAACAAGCATATTCACCGCAGACATCGATCCACAAGTTCCATCTGAATTATTTTTTGGGAGATTTTTCAAAGATAACTTCATTACTTTGGAGCAAGATTTCTAAGCCCATATTCGATAAAAGCACAAAATTATGGTCTTAATTAATCGGAAATACATTCTAGCAGGTTAAAAGTGAATAAACATATTGTCTTAAAAGTTTCCAATCACCCATTATGTATATTACTTTTGGACTACTCCAATTTAATTTTGGAAATACAGCATCATATTGATTTAGTACATTTTTTATTTGTTGTTCGAATTCGGGGAATGAAATCTTAAAATATTTTCTTTATAATTGTATTAATTAAAATTTTATATCAAACTTTTTTTGTTGTATCATTATCAGCATCTTCATCCGACCACTATCAAGACAAATAGAAATAGAAATAATTCATATTAAGTGACTCTTACATGGTCTTCATCATCGGATGATTCCGCATTCACTCGACGCATTTCATCCATTGCTTCATTTGCACTGAAATATTCGAATTGAAAACAGTACAAAAAACAAAAATTAAAAAAAAAAGCAAACCCAGTCGGTAGATAAAATTCATCTGATCGAAGATATTGCAAAACATCATCAGTCAAATTAAGAATAACACTGAATTAATATAATCATTTATTAAATCGTAAAAGAAAAAAGTTCTATTACCTTTTAAGAGAATTTTTTTCAAATATTGGATACCAAACTGAAAAAGAACAATTTAAAACATCTTGAACACTCGCACGAGGAAGATCAACAGTCATATTGAATATCTAAAATAAAGCAAATCAATGGGTTACAAATAATTTTCTCTTGATCGCTTTAATCAAGCATTCATATATTTTGAAAAATGAATGTTCGAATAATTGACTGTAGACTGTTCATAAACTAAACGACCTTACCTATTTTATGTAATTCGAACTGGACAAAAACCTCCGGTAAACTGTTCGCTATACTGATGATAGTTTGATATTTGAGTGGTTAGCTATTCTCTCGGTGATATTCTACTGCTGATAGTGCTAATATCTCCGCTTCGGTTCCCTCGAACGGGTCGATTTTTTCATTAATGGTAGAAACTCATTTAAAGTTTTTTTTTTTCATACGGATAACGTCTACAAATTACTACTGTCAATTTATATTTTTAGTCTCAATAATATAACTCAGCTAGTCGGTCAACATCTGAAATTTTCGGACCTAATAGGCTCTAGTCATCTGAGAAATGTGTAGGACGTATCAGTCACCAAAAAAGTATCTTTGGGACGGTTATTCAATGTCGGCTAGAAAACTTCGTTGAGAATATCAAAGTACCATTCAACCTGGTTCGGATCTAAAAACGTTCAATCCAACGAGCTCTAGTCACTGAAAAAAGTTTCACCTACTGTCAAGTAAGAAAAATACATATAAAGCACTTCATTTATAACTTTCAGTTGTTATCTACGACAATAAGAAGAAGAAACCAAAACGAACCTTATAAATGACACTATATTGATGCACATAGAGCAACTTTTCAAAACTACTCAGGTTGAATATTGAAATTCGTGTTCCATTTCAGCTCTTTGGACATCAACTTCCTTGCAAAGGCCAATGTTTGATATTTGAAAATGCAAAATTCTGTAATCATTGACTTTTAAACTAACTAGTATTGAAAACTTGCTCAATGTCCAATAACCTATTATCATGTGTGAAGTTCGTTTTGGTTTCGTTTTCTTATTCTCTTAAACAACAATTGAAAATTATCTAGGAAACGCTTTAAACCTATTTATTTTTACTTGGTAATTGTTGAAATTTGCTTTCCGAAACCAAAAGTATAACCTGGTAGTAGTGTTTATATACGGTCTTCATATAAAATAATCCTGCTTTAAATAAGCTTCTACTACTAACAAAGAAAGCAACTCATTCGAACGAACTGAATTGGAGATGTTTTAATTTTTTTATCGTAATCCTATTTATAGCTCACCTTGTCGATAGCGGTATGCATAGAAATGAACGTTATTTACAAGAAAGCATGACATGATTTATTTTAGGGAAATGTAAACCTACATTTTTTTTTCTCATAAAAATCATTCTCCTTCTTGTCACTTCAGATATTTATGAAGACTAATATCTGATGCAATAATTGAAATTTCGGTTCTCTTACAGCTGTCTTACACTGTCTTAGATTCTTAAATGTTATTGGTTAAAATTTTATTCAATCAGATTCATAGAACACTTTATAAATATTCGCAATAAACTGAATTATTTAGTTTAGAAAAATTTATTTATAAAACTTTTTAATGCGAAATTCAATTTTATTGCTCAATATGTAATAACCGCAATGAATTGAAAACAGCAAGACATTGAATCATATATATGCTTTTTATTGTACAGCTGCCATCTGTCTTGGAATTCATTTTTTCTATTCGTTGTCTATTTAAATAAAAAATATAATCTGTTTTTTTTGATCGCATAATCTAGTAGTGTGACCAAAGATGTGCTAAGTCGGGCTCCGCCCTACCGTCAGAAGAATAAAAAACGTATTATTGACACTCATTGACACTACATTTCATATACTCCCGTACAAGATCAGTGGATTCTGTCTTACCACCCACAATTTTCTGTGTATGCCACTAACATAATTTCTATTTTATAGTTTTAGAAAGACTGAAAACATGAGTTTTCAATGGACTTTTCTCGCCACATTTCTCTATTGTGAAATAATTGTGGTTATTATTCTACTTTTACCATTTATTTCACCGACTATGTAAGTTTATAATAGATTCTATCTAATTACAACGTAATTCTATTTTTTAATTTTTAGTTGGAACAAATTTTTCAAGTCAAGACTTGCTAAAGCATTTAGAGCAGGAGCTAAATATTATTTTAATTTCATTATTTGTATTTTTGGTTTACTTTTTCTCGGTAAAAAAATATTTATAAAGTTTTCTTCATATTTCTTTTCTGTTTATAGATGCAATTCGTGAACTTCGTAAATATTCGATTGTTGATGCTAACAATTTAACAACGCCACACGCTGAAACTCAGGCACATATGAAACAATTTCATTCACAAAGAAATTTTTATATTGCCGGTTTTGCTCTTTTTCTTTGGTTGTAAGTGAAATGATTTTTAATCTCTGAAATGAGGCTTTTTGTTTTAGTGTTATTAAACGTTTAATAAATCTATTAGTGGAATGCGCTGGTGAAACGGCTGCAGCAACTGAAGCTCATAAACAAGCTGAAGGTGCAACTCGTCATTTAGAAGGAGTTATGGCTAACGACCCAACAGTAAAATTGAGAGAAAGATGAAGAAAAAAAAACTGATTTTTATATTTAGAAAATTGATCCACGAGAAATTATAGCATCACCAGGTAATCCACCGCGATATGTTGATTCAATAGAACATGATTTTGAAATTAAAAAATATAAGCAAGGTTTGTTGAAAAAAAGGCAAAGATGTTTGAAAAATAATCCTTTTTTTATAATTTTAATAGAAATAATTAAGACAAAAGAAGATATTGATACGTTACGCGAAGACTATGACAATTCTCTAAAAAAATACAAGAAACTTGAAGAAGAACATCGAAAATTACAAGTATATTAATATAGTTTTCTAAATTTATAAAAAGAAAAAACTTATTTTTTTAGATTCAACTAGCCATGTTAGCTGATGATGAATCATCAAAAGACAAATAAAGCAATCTATTCTTTTTTTGTTTTGAATTGTAGAAAGCTCTTTTTAAATATATATTTTAGCATTTGTATGATAAATTTGTTTTGTTGAGTGTTTGATCGCATGCTCGTCTACTTTATTATACTTAATCACGATATACACATGTTATTAAAATAAATTAAACAAGCTGAAAATATTACTGTCGGGTATCAATAAATGGTAAAAAGATATTTTTTTCAACATTATTTTTATATCTTCCCATGCGTGTTATAACGACTGCTTTTTCTCTGAAAGTGTTGTATATAAACTAGCGGAACCATTCTTTCGTAACATATTGCGAGATCCGGGTGAATACGAGTCAAGTCTGGGTGATTCCCAGACAGAGCTTCTTGTCTTGTTTCCAGATCTTTTTCGAAAAACTCAACTGCTTTTCAGGAGTCACCCATGTTGTTATACACAATACGAGTGTCGTTGCAGGACGTAGTCAGGTCATGATGATTTGGAGGCAGAGCTTGTCATAAAATTCAAGTGTCTTTGAGTAGTCATTCATGTTCCAATACACTAGACCAATGTTGTCGTAGGAATCACTCAAGTCAAGAACATCTTCCGAGAGATTTTCTTTTTTGATTTTGAGCGATTTTTCGTAAAATGGCGCTGCTTCTTCATTTTGTCCTTGATTGTTTTTCATCATTCCAATTATATGATAGATATATGTTCCATCACTACCGTCAGATGTCTGTTTTAGCAGTGCGATATACAGCTCTTCGATCTTGTTGAATTGACCTATTTTGAGTAGCAATTTACCTAACTGATGCCACTGAGTGTTACATGAAGTTTCTTCTTGAATACAATCGATTAATTATTGGAGTTGTTGGTCGTCGTCTAATATAAGTTTGAGGCCTGTCGATAGTGTCATCGATCCAGATGACCAAGTAATTTTCAACAATGCGTTGTCTTCGTTGTACATTCATTTTTGGAGATAACTGTTGCTGTTCAATAAGTAACCGAGTACTGGGAATAATAGATTATCGTTTGGACAAATATAACCTTTTCTATTTATATATTCGATGTCGGCTGTTTTTTTTTCTAGACTTTTCTATAACATCAAAAGTGGATGCGCGTTTTTTCATTGCCACTCAAGGAGAGACTTCACCCAGTAGTGATTGAAAATATGAGTGTCAACAGCAAATGAAAGAGAAACAATCGAACAAGGTCATTTATCCTGTTGTTATTCTTACAACTTTCGTTTGCTTCTCATGTACATATGAATCACTTGAAAGCTAATGCGTTAGATACCATCTCTCATCAATCGTTAATTTTTTTATCCATTCTTTCCAAAAAAAAAAGACTTTTCTTATTCTTGCAAAAACAGAAAAACCCACAAAGACATCGTTAGTTTTACTTTTTTCATTAAGCATATGACTGATACACTGACAATGTGAACGAAACAAGAAGAAACATAATTTCAACTTTAATTGAGGTAACCATCAAACAACGGTTTCTACTGCCCAGATATGCTGCTGCTCGTTAACTAGTGATTGAAGTAAAACAATTGCCTTCATTATGCTTAACCGTCAGTGATGTGTATCGCGTATCTCATTGTTATTGCGCTAATAATGAATTACATAAATGGAGTTTGAAAATAATGAAAGGTCGAAGTAACTATCAACAATTTGAAAATGAATGAAACATTTGAATGAGGGCTTTACATATAGATATAGCAAACAAGCAAAAGGTTTATATCGATTACCATCTAAATTTCAGCTAGAAGCTCACGCAACCTGCTACTGAATATTTATTGCATTATTTGACAGCTGCTTAATGACAATTATGACCTTTAGTCTCGCCTTGTACTTAACAGTTTTAATTCGAATTCGAATCAATGTTCCAAATAAAATTAGTCATTGCTTTGCAACAGTAGCTGAATTCTATGAGCTCTAAACTTCTGGAAAACTCAAAAGTACAGCTTCATTCATGAAACTCTCGGCACTTATGGGGAGCAAGGAATTTTCAGAAGAATGCTGGTGTGGGTCTTAGTTACAGTTTCAGTTCTCTCAACATCTACAGCCACAATCATATTTGAGTATCATTGGAAAATATTGTATTGCATATTTGTCACCTTTCGTGGTATTTCTGGTAACCCGAATTTCTGAATGTAAAACAACACTGCAGTTGTCTAAAATTATGGATAAACAAAGTATGATGATGTCAATTTTGTTTGCGACACTACGGTTGATCTATTACCTAAATTATACCAAAGTCTTGAGTTCTTAAGGTTACTTCAATTGTTGGAGTTTCTTCAATTTCGTACGTTTCATTCAGTGAAGTTACATTTTCGACAGTTCCATAAATTTAGAACTCATGAAATCCGAATATGTCTCAGTGAGACTAATGTCATGGTGAGAGTGTGTGGGTGAGACTAACAGAATGAATGTTTTATCACTCACAACTTTGCTAAAGTGATTTTGGATTTAACTCATAGTCATTTGAAATATGTGTAAAATAAAAAGAAATTTTGTTTTTTTATGGTATTTTAACGGTTCTTTTCTCATTAGTTTCTACAATTCATAAAGAAATAATATTTAAAGGGCAAAGGTCGTTTTGAGAACATTTCGGCCCAATTAGAAAGAAAAGATGGATTAATGTGAAATTCTTAGCATATATACACTTGCGTATTACTACTTATCCCTATAGGCTTCAGTTTGATTGGTCAATATTTTTCCTTACCTCCTTGTTTTGAAGTGTATAAGCATTTTGATGATCTTTATAGGCACGAGGAAGAGACTCGAACCACGTATTTCTGAAAGAATATTTGTATAGTTTGAGATCGAGAGTCATTTTATATACGATTCGATAGGAAATTTAATAATGAATAAAACCGTACGAATATCTTAAATTTAAATTCAGAAAGTAATTAAAAAGAGTTAAGCATATCGTCATCCTGAAGTCATGTATAGGTTACCGTGAAATATTCTGGATCTTCAGTCTCCACTATTTGATTCAGATCCGAAGTCATTTTTCCAACATCAATAACAATTACTAGGGACTACAAAACTGCAAAGACAAGAGGCTCAAGAAAGCCTACCATAATACCATTGTCTATAACATATTATCCGAAATCAGAGACAACTACCTTAAGACAAGCCTTCGTTGTTAACGATTTTATTTCGACCCAAACTCATTTATTGAGCGCTAAGAGAAACCAACAACAACTATGAAATTGCAAAGGCCAGAGGCTATAAAAGAAGTTGTCTTTCCGTTAATTACTTAAGGGATACAATCCGAAGTAGAGGAGATAATATTGTAATGATTAGCTTTGAGTACGTATGATATCTCTTAATTGATGCAGAAGTTAATATACACAGTCCGTTAGAATTATACAAAAAAAAACAGAGTAGATTTTTACTAATATAGTCGTCATTACTGTGTGATGTGTCGTTGGTTGTCCTACGTGTTGAGATGTTTGTAGTAAAGAAGATGTTATCGTTTCATGATTACTCAATTTAGTGGTCTTTATTTAACCTGAACGATCTTACAAATGTTAGTTTGTCTTGTGTTTAGTAGAGGAGATTTTTTTCAGATTAGACATATATAATCAGAAATCAACAGGTACTTAACTTTTTATAAAGGCTACTATAACTAAAAAAAATACTTCTTCAGTCTGCTTATTAGTTGCATTCCTTATAAAACTGGTGTGCTACTTTTTACTTATTTTACGTTAAAAAAACAAAGTAAAACACTACTTTACTGCATGAAGCAAAACTAGAAAACGAGATTTACTATATGTAGATAAAAAATTTGACATTTCTACATTTTACTTTACTTGATAAAGAGAAGATAATGTGTCACCTCTATTATAGAGCCGTAATATTTTTAAACATCTATTTTTCATAAGTCAGAGCACTAGGGACATGCTATCTGTGTAAATAATTACTCGGATGATTTCTGCGAATGAATAGTCGATATATGTAAGTACTATCATTCTATGGAGGAAAAGATGAAAAAACAGTGATTACTTCACAGCTATCAAACTCTGCATTAACCATGTAAAAATGTATATCGTGTGTGTGTTTATTCTGATGTTCCTATCGAATCAAAGACTCAGGGTGTGTGTGGCTTTGCTACGATTGTCTGTATGTGTGTTCCATTCGTCAAAACAATCCAACACTTGAACCGATACGATGTCAAATGAAGAAAACAGAAGAACATAGAGGAATTTAACGGTTAATATAACTCTACAATACAGGTTCAAGTAGAAATGACAAATGTCATGCGATGGTAGAATTCCGCAAGTCAAATCAAATTATAACTGGTAAGGAATATTTGTTTTTTTGTAGTCATCTCGTACTGTAAAGTATACTTATGAAGCAATAAAAACCGTCTAGTACTCACAAAACTCCAGCAAATTTTCTATCGTACCTAATTTTTAACATGACTAGATTTATCCAACGGCTAATCAAACGAACTACTCTTTCTATCATTAACAAATCAATGTTTTACACTTTTGTTCATAAGTCTATAATGTTGGAATTTGCTTCGATAAATTATATTTTCAAAGGTAAATATTTCATAATGCATGAGTGAATAAAACAAGACAACGACAGCACACAAAATGAATGAAAAACTTAATATATTAATTTTCTATAACAAATAGGAGATTTTAATTCTACACTAATATTAATAATGAATATAGACTATACATACTCTTTCATTAATGTTTAGAAAATCAGTCTGTTTGATTAAAATTCAGGAAGTACATTTTTTTCAATCATTCTGTTCTTATCTGCATCTTATTGACTATTATCGAAATCACAATAATAACGTTAGATAAATACATTTTTATCAATAAATATTTAGTAAAATTTTGTTATCTTTATTATTTATGTTTTATTTTTCTTATGAAATTCGAGTATCAAGAGAATTGCTTCACTTTATCTGGTCATAATCATTGACAAAATTAATAATTTATTTAAGAAATATATATGCGAAAAATAGTCATGTTCTTCTATTTATGTCTGCTATTGATACCTTTCATAATTGGTGTTCTTTCATTGAATATTACTATAGGATAGCTTCGTTTTGGTTTTGAACAAAACAAACAAGTAAGCATCATAAGAAATAATAAAAACACCGCAACTAATACAATGCCTGTAATCGTCCAAAAATTCCATCTAAACCGTAATGGACGTGGCTCTGGTATAATACATCCATCCCAACATGCACAAGGACTTGTTAATTCCATGATATATTCACCAACAGATCCTTCACCAAGTACTTGAAGACGATGAGATGATAATGATCGATCACAAACAAGTTGTACGCTTAAACGTCGATTGTTTGGTGGTGACGGATAAAGAATCCATCCAACAAGATTTTTTGTAGCATTCATATTTACCCAATAAGCATAGTCTTGTAATCCAATTGTATAACTAATACCCCGATTTTTATCCACTAAATAGAAACAAATATGTAAAATTTAAAAAAACAATAATTTTAAAATTTTACTTTGACATCCGGCTACATTTCGACAAGTATCTTCAGAAAATTTGTAACATGGATTATAAGACCAGACAAAATTATCTGGAAACATTGTTGTAACATCTTTGAATATTGGTGTACCTGTCATGCTACCAATTGATGATAAATCAATTGTACCATATCGAGAGTCATGATAGTGACATTCATTATAATATATCAAGGGTGTTGTTGCTGGTGATGTTCCTATATAATTGAAAAAAAAGGCGATATTATTTAAATAGCTTTCATTAAAAAATCCTACTAGAAGTAGTAGTGCTTGGGTGCGGAGTAGTACATCCATTCCAACAAGCACAACGTGATCGTAAACGCATAAAATAATGATTAACAGTATATTCACCAAGTATTTCAAATTCATCTTGAGCAACCACCGAGCAAATCATTGTTATTGAAACTGTTTTCTCACCATAAGTATATGTAAGAATAGGTGTCATGCTTGAGTCCATCGTCCATGTAGAGACATCTTGTGCACCTAATATAATTGAATGTTTTCGATCGGACGATACTAGAAAGAAAACAATGTCACTATATTCAATAATTTATTTAATTAAATTATAATATTTATACATACTTTGACAAACAGCTGCATTATAGCAACTATTTTCTGTAAATGAATAACATGGATTGAATGAATACGTATAATAGGAGCTTGCCGGAGATGATAAATCTTGAAAACGAGGTTTACCATTTCGTAAACCAATTGATGATAAATTAATAACACCTTTGGTTGGATGTTCAAACATACATGAATTATCTGCAAGTGTTATACTGCAGAAACCAACGATGAGAAAAATATTAAAAATCTTCATTTTATTAAATATAGTGAATTTCTATTTGTTTTTATGCAAAATAAATGTGTCTATTGTAGTTTTTATCGAAGACATTATCTGGTTATTACTCAAAACTTGATGATAATGACGTTATATAGTTTGCATTTGCTTTAGTGATAAGAAAATTTATATTTAAACCAAGTAGATCTATTACTAATTTTTAACAAAAAAAATTGTTTTTTTTTCTCTTCAACTCTGACTGATTATCATCCACTTGTTTTTTTTCTTATCTAATTCTTGTAAAATAGAAAGATAAATTGGTAGTTCGAAACGATCTTGTGCGTGTGTGCATTAAAGGAGAAGTTGCCGTTAGATGTCATCTATGTGAATGATATTTTCACTGGCACTATTCTTGTACAATTATATTTAGTGTGGTTCACAAGAAAAGCTCTTCAAGTGGTGACTCGCTTTTTTATCGAAAAATACATAACTGTATACAGTTCATTGGGTTGATTTCGTCAATGATATTCCTAGTGACCTGTTTTCCTTTCTAGAGCCTATATAATAACTAGCAATGCTCTTATAATAGAGCTTTTGACTATGAACTAGAAGAAGGATACTTCTTATTCACTTTATACTTGTGTTAACAAAAGACTATTTACTATCACATGAGTCTAAAGATCGTACACAATCTACATTAGAAAAAAGTCATTCTTTTTTCTCATATGGTATTAGTGATGGAAGTAGAAAAATAAATTATGGAAGATAGGGGTCAAAAAATCATATATGTACTCGAAGATAAAAGAGAGCATGATGAGTATTTTACATCTAAACATTAGATCTGATAAAAATTTCTAAATTATTAATTTAAAGAATGAGTAGAGATCATTGATCGATAAATAACTATTGAATGAACTGCATCATGTGTTTTAGCGTTTTTGGATAAATAAAAAGTTGATATATACAGTTAGGATAATGGAGGTATAGTCGTTAATATCAGTTTGAATAAAGTGCTATATGGGAGTGTCATATATTGATTTCTTAAGATATAGCACATGGATACATTCTGGATAAACTTTCCAAACAAGTAGAAACTTGAGTGAACTTATCTAATAATGCATAAAAATCATTCCATCATTATGTGAAAAAAATCAAACCTAATACAATCCTTTTGTATATTTAGTTTTTGTATATTTTGTGTTGGTACATTGTAAACGGATGAGATATCTTATTTAATGAAAAAAATCTCTATTATAAGAAGATTATTATTTCTGATATAGACTCTAGAAATCATATAGGTTGTTAAAATCATGATATTTGAAATTAGCACAGTGAACTTCATACATTCATGTACTTTTCGAGGAAAAAAACAAGCCATCACTTGGGAGACTTCTCTCGTCAGATATATGTTTCAAATCAATCATGTTGACCCTTTCGCGAGGAGAAAACAGCAGAGGGTTCAGTCTTGAAGTCTAATGTTTTCCCTCGCCTTTTCGTCTTGAATTCATTCTAAATTATACGATTTCTCTCTGTCTCTCTCTCTCTCTCTCTCTCTCTTATTTCATTTGATGAAAGTGAATTTGAATCGCAATTCTAATATATTTTTTATGCAACGTTGACCAAAGATGAAATTAGATAAATCCAGCAAAAAATTAATGTTACAAGTATGATCAAGAAAGTGGCGAAGCAAATAATGTTGGAGCAATGGGAGAATAGCGTCTTTGTTGCGGTGTATTCATGGGTAGATGAAAATAAGGAGGATTTTGTAATAGATCTTAGTTCATGTCGAATCTACAGATGGTTCTGACGAGTAGAACAGTTGTTGTGGCGATGGTAAAATTGCTTTTGATATCTGATTCTACATAAAATTCATAATAGGTGGTGGTTATTGTATTGGTAGTTATTGACCAAACATTTTACTCAAAACATTGCTCGTTGCAGGCGATGTTTGACTTGCAGCAGGATTCATTGGAGGAGCTGGTGGTGGTAGCATTTGATTTCCAACAGGATTCATTGCAGGTGCTGATGACATTTGGGCCCAAACAGAATTCATTGCAGAAGGTGGCGCTGGTGGTGGTAGCATTTGATTTCCAACAGGATTCATTGCAGGTGCTGATGACATTTGGCCCCAAACAGAATTCATTGCAGAAGGTGGCGCTGACGGTTGGTTCCAAGAAGGATTTACAGGAAGTGGAGCACCTTGTTGTGGTGGATGACTCATCATATTCCAGACTTTTGAGACGCCAGAACTTGGTTGATGAGTTCCAGCTGGTAGATTACTTACAGGAGGAAAACTTTGCACAGGTGCTTGATTCTGTTGTGGCGGCATATTAACATTACCACCACCTGAGCTCATTTTAGCAAACAAACTAGCAATACCACCAGAGCTCTGGTTTCCTGGTGGCGGCATTGGTGGAGGCGCATTTTGCATATGTTGCCAAACATTCTTCATAGCGCCAGGATGAGATGGAGGTACGTTTGATTGAGGCGGATATTCTGGAGCTCCTGCCATTCGTTGCCAAACATTGCCTAATAAACTATGAAGACCAGCAGGAGATTGACTGCCTTGATTCATATCAGGACCAGAATGATGTTGGTGTCGATTCTGCCGACGATGATGACGTGATGAATATTTTTCATCATCATCTCTGTCTGAATCTGAATCTTCACGACAAATTATTCGTCGACGACGATGTGATCGGAATGGAGGCCTTTGACATTCATCACTATCTAAATATGAAGCTTCACGACAAATTAATCGTTGATGATGATCTGATCGCGATGAACGTTTTGGATAATAATCACTTTCTGAATCTGAAGCGTTATGACAAATTAATCGTCGATGATAATCTGATCGCCGTCGTGGAAGAATTACTTCTGTTAATGGTGATGTATCTTCAGAAAAATAAATAAAACAGAAAAGTTATTCATATTCTGATAACAATTTCACTCGTACAATAATTATTAAGAGATGAAGGTTGCTGTAATGAGCAGGCATCTATACCAAGTTGTCTAAAAATTGTATTGAGCGATACATCATCTGTAATAAGTAATATATTAACTGAATTTTTTTATAGTAAAAACAAAACAAACTTGAAACGTGAAAGACAAGAGGATTTCCACGTGGAATAGAAGTAATTTGTGGTGTGCAATGCATGGTAATAGTTGAAGGTTCATTGTAAAGTAAATTATTTAATGCTGGTGCATAATTCTAATCAATAAAAGAAATTTATTTATATTTTACCGATTAACACAATTAATCATATTTACCGGTAGTAATGTATTAGTATTGTTATTTAAAAATGGTGTTGAAGGTGTATTGTAACCAGAATAAGGAAATTCATAAACCGGACTGCCTGTGAGATAGTCCATAATAGTATCGAATATTCAGCTCAGTGATTACTCGGTTTCTCTATCGAAAAAAAACACTGAACTAATGATATAAACATATCAATTGAAGGACAAGCTTGTCATTGTGTTTACCAACATTTGGCCGTGATGTTTGTCACACGTCAGTAATTATTGTTTTCATATTCCCAAGGATTCGTTATTCATGGATAAAATCGATAAAAAATAAATAACCAACAATTCGAGTTTTGAGCAAGATTATTTTGTTTTAGATGTGTAGATAAAGCTCGTCGAATTACTTAGAAAACTGTTGTTTTTTGTAGCAAAACTTGGCAAAACTAGCTGAAAAAATAAGATAAGTCTATAAAAATTGAAGTACACAAAAAGTATCAAGCCTCGTTAACCTTAATACTTATTCGATTATTGTTTTTTACTTGTTCTATGGTTAGAAAAAAAAATATTATGCATAATTTTTGCAAAATATGTTTTTTTGTTGAGAAAACTGATTTTTTCGATATGACAGCAAAAACCTTGTACAGGTTTATATTCAGAGATATTGATCATCAGAACTTCAGTTCCAAACGAAACAAACATCGTATGTGGAATCAGCAAGAAAACCTGCATTGAATAGTATGCTCAACACTTAGAACAAAGTTTTCGTCAAATGTCGACTTTTGTGAAGGCACAGATCAGATTATTCGATAATGATAATAACAGTGAAGGAGTGTAAGTATTGAAATTTGATGGAAATTAGTTTTAATTATTGAGTAAACTATTCGATGAAGATTTTTCTGTTGATTCTGCATATGATATTCATTTCTTTTAGAACTAAAACTTTGATGGTCAAAATCTTTGAGTATGAATCTTTATTTATAGCATTTTATCCTCATATTGAAAAAAACAATTTTCTCAACAATGAAAAGATATCTGTAAAAGTCATGCATAATTTTTTTTTCCTAATCATATGACGAGTAAAATAAAAAAAATTGACGCTTGATGTTGTTGACGTATTTCAAATTTTATAGGCTTTTATTATTATTTTTTAAGCTAAATTTTTTAAATTTTTGCTATAAAAACAACATCTTTAGAAGTAAATCAACGAACTTTTTCTAATCATTTGAAAAGAAAAAACAGTAAAAAAATTTTTGCTCACATTTTGAATAGCCTTGACCTTTCTGTTTTCATATCAATCAATTTTATATAAACTATATACAATAAATAACGGTAGTCCATTGTTCTATACCAGTGATATCTAATTGCGCCTTGTTTTTTTATTAGGCTCGCTTGGATGAATGTTTATCAAAATAAAAAAAGAAAGCTAATCTTCCATTTCCTTTTGTTTATTGTAAGAAGAATGAAACAATAAAGAAGAAGAAAAAAAGAAAAGATACAGAACATAAAATAAAATAAATATGACTAATTATAACATGAAACCATATTTAGAGATAAGAAGACATAGGAATGTAAATTATATACATCACTGTATTGAGATTAATTAAAAAGATCATCGATTTCAGCAGCTGCTGTTTTTGAACTTGTTACATTTGTACCTTTAACTACGACAGAACCAGATGGTGGTGGTGGTTGAAATAATTTCATACCTCCACTTGGTGTTCCTGGATTATTATGAGATGGAGACATTAATATATTAGTATTCGAACTCATTGAATTCAATGACATTGTTGTTGGACTAATTTGTTGTCGAGAAGCAAGAGAATTGATATTGTTCATAAGGCTCGATGTTAAATTAGTAGTATTCGATGATGATAATGATGTTGATGGTGAAGAAAAGTTTAATGTGGGTCGTTTCGGCTGTTGTTGCATTGCAGATGGTGAATTATTAATAGTTGGACGTATAAGTGATGGGATCGTTTGAGAAGTAGACATACCGTAAGATGGTTGTGGTGGATTTTGTTCAAATAGAGTACTTGTTAAATCTTTAAAATATGCTGAAGATGAATTCAATGTTGTTGTTGCTGCTGATATTGGAGTCATAGCCATAAGTGGAATATTTGACGCTGGTGATATAGGTGTTTTACGTTCAGGTACAAGTTCACCTTGAAATTTCATACGTTGTGTTTGATCATTCTCACGCATCATTCGTTCTTTTTCTTCTAATGTTAATGTCTAATAGAAAATAAAATTAAAATAAACACATAAGAAATTTATATTATTTACTTTTTTTCCTAGAGAATTTTCTGACACAGCTGATTGATTCAATGATATTTGTTGGGGCTTTGAATTATCCAACGTTAAGTTAGTGTCAAAACTAGCAGCCATACTTTTATTTTGAGCTACTTCAGAATTAAAGCCGTGTCCAAGCATAAATTGATCAATCTATATAATAAAAAATTATCAGAACAATTCCTTTGAGATTAAATCTTTTAATTGGTGCTTCATAAATGTACTAAGAAAATGGTTCAGATATGATAACGAAACGTTATTGATATAGGATCTATAATCGTATATCAACAACGTCCGTGACGTGCCCATGGCCATGTTCGTTACCGTCTGTAATGTTCTCATGGCCATGTCTATAATGATCGATAACGGTCTCTCACTGCTATCTGTCATGATCATCGAGGAGGCGTCCAAATATGTGTTCCTATACTTCAACACTTCTTTTAGACTGTGTTTCACAAAATAAAGCTTGATAATTTAAATTGTTTAGAAACTTACCATCGATGATGATTTTTGATCAAAATGAACATCGGTTGTTGAAGGACCAATAGGTACAATTGGTGCACTGAAATAAAATATAAGTAAATTATAAATAAAAAGGAGTTTTACTTTGCAGCTTGTTGAGAAAGTTGTTCAAGTTTTTTACGTTGTTCAATTTCAACTGTTTGTAACATATCTTTAATTGTTGACATATAAGCATTGAACTATAAACAAAAGAATAAAGTGGGGAACAAAATTTTAAGGCACTTTTTGTTTTTCGTTTTTCTCCACCAAAGACCGCTTTTGATGAATATCCAAATAGCGATTTCGATAGCTCTCAGAACCAGCTACAAATCTATTCCATCAAAAATATCAACGATCAACCGGTTCAGTTTTTATGACAGAAACTATTTGTGTCCAGCAGACAAAATTTTAAGGCACTTTTTGTATTTTATCGATTTTGCCTTTGCCGAAGAACAGAAAATGTTTCAAAAATATATCATTAGATCCAGAATTGAACGGGCTACATTGTGGTATAAAAAGTTTTGAAAAACTATTGACTATAATAATTAAATATTAATAATAATTAATTATTATTA